CATGAACCGAAGATGTGAGAAAAATGAAAAGAAAAAGAACTTACTTAAAAAATGATGCTTATATATATTAATCATTTCATCCCAAGCAAGGTAATAAAAAGACGCAAAAAGAGTTACTGAGTGTGAAAAGAATATGAGAAAAAGAAAACACTATTAAGGAGAGAGAACATTAAAAGAAGAGGAATTAAAAGACAGAAGATAACAATTGACATTGCATTTAATCATTTCATCCCAAGCAAGGTAATAAATCTACTAAGACGCAAAGAGTTACTGAGTGAAAGAATATGAGAAAAGAAAACACTATTAAGGAGAGAGAACAATAAAGAAGAGGAATTAAGAAGACAGAAGATAATGATTGAAATTTATCATTTAATCCCAAGTAATAAATCTACTAAGACACAAAGAGTTACTGAGTGAAAGAATATGAGAAAAGGAGAGAACATTAAAGAAAGGAATTAAGAAGACAGAAGATAACAATTGAATTGCATTTAATCATTTCATCCCAAGCAAGGTAAGAGAGAACAAAGAGTTAAGAAAGAATATGAGAAAAGAAAAACACTATTAAGGGAGAGAACAATAAAAGAAGAGGAATTAAGAAGACAGAAGATAATGATTGACATTGCATTTAATCATTTCATCCCAAGCAGGTAATAAATCTACTAAGACGCAAAAAGAGTTACTGAGTGTGAAAGAATATGAGAAAAGAAAAACAAGAGAGAACAATAAAAAGAAGAGGAATTAAGAAGACAGAAGATAACAATTGACATAGCATTTAATCATTTCAAGAGCAAGGTAAATCTACTAAGACGCAAAGAGTTACTGAGTGTGAAAGAATATAAGAAAAGAATAAGGAGAGAGAACAATAAAAGAAGAGGAAAAGATAATGATTGACATTGCATTTAATCATTTCATCCCAAGCAAGGTAATAAATCTACTAAAAGAGTTACTGAGTGTGAAAGAATATGAGAAAAGAAAAACACTATTATGAGAGAGAACAATAAAAGAAGAGGAATTAAGAAGACAGAAATAAATTGACATTGCATTTAATCATTTCATCCCAAGCAAGGTAATAAATCTACTAAGACGCAAAGAGTTACTGAGTGTGAAAAATAGAAAAAAGAAAACACTATTAAGGAGAGAGAACAATAAAAGAAGAGGAATTAAGAAGACAGAAGATAACAATTGACATTGCATTTAATCATTTCATCCCAAGCAATCTAAGACGCAAAGAACAAGTGTGAAAGAATATGAAAAAAAAAGAAAAACACTATTAAGGAGAGAGAACAATAAAAGAGAGGAATTAAGAAAAGAAGATAATAATTGACATTACATTTAATCATTTCATCCCAAGCAAGGAAGACGCAAAGAGTTACTGAGTGTGAAAGAATATGAGAAAAAGAAAAACACTATTAAGGAGAGAGAACAATAAAAGAAGAGGAATTAAGAAGACAGAAGATAACAATTGACATTGCATTTAATCATTTCATCCCCAAGGTAATAAAACTAAGACGGTTAATAAATCTACTAAGAACAATAAAAAAGAGGAATTAAGAAGACAGAAGATAACAATTGACATTGCATTTAATCATTTCATCCCAAACAAGGTAATAAATCTACTAAGACGCAAAGAGTTACTGAGTGTGAAAGAATATGAGAAAAGAAAAACACTAATAAGGAGAGAGAACAATAAAAAGAGGAATTAAGAAAGAAGATAAATTGACATTGCAAATCATTTCATCCCAAACAAGGTAATAAATCTACTAAGACCAAAAGAGTTACTGAGTGTGAAAAAGAATATGAAAAAGAAAAACACTATTAAGGAGGAGAGAACAATAAAAGAAGAGGAATTAAGAAGACAGAAGATAATGATTGACATTGCATTTAATCATTTCATCCCAAACAAGGTAATAAATCTACTAAGACGCAAAGAAATGAAAGAAAGAAAAACACTATAAAGAGAACAATAAAGAAGAGGAATTAAGAAGACAGAAGATAACAATTGACATTGCATTTAATCATTTCATCCCAAGCAAGGTAATAAATCTACTAAGACGCAAAAGAGTTTGAGTGTGAAAGAATATGAGAAAAAAAAAACAATAAGGAGAGAGAACAATAAAAGAAGAGGAATTAAGAAGACAGAAGATAACAATTGACATTGCATTTAATCATTTCATCCCAAACAAGGTAATAAATCTACTAAGACGCAAAGAGTTACTGAGTGTGAAAGAATATGAGAAAAAGAAAAACACTATTAAGGAGAGAGAACAATAAAAGAAGAGGAATTAAGAAGACAGAAGATAACAATTGACATTGCATTTAATCATTTCATCCCAAACAAGGTAATAAATCTACTAAGACATAAAAAGACTGAGTGTGAAAGAAAGAAAAGAAAACACTTAAGGAGAGAGAACAATAAAAGAAGAGGAATTAAAGAAGACAGAAGATAACAATTGAAAGCATTTAAATTTCATCCCAAGCAAGGTAAAAATCTACTAGTTACTGAGTGTGAAAGAAGAGAGAAAAGAAAAACAATAAGGAGAGAGAACAAAAAGAAGAATTAAGAAGACAGAAGATAACAATTGACATTGCATTTAATCATTTCATCCCAAACAAGGTAATAAATCTACTAAGACGCAAAGAGTTCTGAGTGTGAAAGAATATGAGAAAAAAAAAACACTATTAAGGAGAGAGAACAATAAAGAAGAGGAATTAAGAAGACAGAAGATAACAATTGACATTGCATTTAATCATTTCATCCCAAGCAAGGTAATAAATCTACTAAGACGCAAAGAGTTACTGAGTGTGAAAGAATATGAAAAAAAAAAAACACTATTAATGAGAGAGAACATTAAAAGAAGAGGAATTAAGGAAGACAGAAGATAACAATTGACATTGCATTTAATCATTTCATCCCAAAGCAAGGTAATAAATCTACTAAGACGCAAAAAGTTACTGAGTGTGAAAGAATATGAGAAAAAGAAAAAACAATAAGGAGAGAGAACAATAAAGAAGAGGAATTAAGAAGACAGAAGATAACAATTGACATTGCATTTTCATTTCATCCCAAACAAGGTAATAAATCTACTAAGACGCAAAAAGAGTTACTGAGTGTGAAAGAATATGAGAAAAAAAAAAACACTATTAAGGGAGAGAACAATAAAGAAGAGGAATTAAGAAGACAGAAGATAACGATTGACATTACATTTAATCATTTCATCCCAAGTAAGACAATAAATCTACTAAGACGCAAAAGAGTTACTGAGTGTGAAAGAATATGAGAAAAGAAAAAACACTATTAGGAGGAACAACAATAAGAAGAGGAATTAGAAGACAGAAATAACAATTGACATTGCATTTAATCATTTCATCCCAAACAAGGTAATAAATCTACTAAGACGCAAAGAGTTACTGAGTGTGAAAAATATGATAAAAAAAAAACACTATTAAGGAGAGAACAATAAAAGAAGAGGAATTAAGAAGACAGAAGATAACAATTGACATTGCATTTAATCATTTTCATCCCAAACAAGGTAATAAATCTACTAAGACGCAAAAAGTTACTGAGTGTGAAAAGAATATGAGAAAAAAAAAACACTATTAAGGAGAGAACAATAAAAGAAGAGGAATTAAGAAGAAGAAGATAACAATTGACATTGCATTTAATCATTTCATCCCAAACAAGGTAATAAATCTACTAAGACGCAAAGAGTTACTGAGTGTGAAAGAATAAGAGAAAAAGAAAAACACTTAAGGATAGAGAACAATAAAGAAGAGGAATTAAAGAAGACAGAAGATAACAATTGACATTGCATTTAATCATTTCATCCCAAACAAGGTAATAAATCTACTAAGACGCAAAGAGTTACTGAGTGTGAAAGAATATGAGAAAAAGAGAGAGAGAACAATAAAAGAAGAGGAATTAAGAAGACAGAAGATAACAATTGACATTGCATTTAATCATTTCATCCCAAACAAGGTAATAAATCTACTAAGACGCAAAGAGTTACTGAGTGTGAAAGAATATGAGAAAAAGAAAAACACTATTAAGGAGAGAGAACAATAAAAGAAGAGGAATTAAGAAGACAGAAGATAACGATTGACATTGCATTTAATCATTTCATCACAAGTAAGACAATAAATCTACTAAGACGCAAAGAGTTACTGAGTGTGAAAGAATATGAGAAAAAGAAAAACACTATTAAGGAGAGAGAACAATAAAAGAAGAGGAATTAAGAAGACAGAAGATGACGATTTACACTGGATTTTACACTGGTAGGAGGTTAGAATTGAATAGTGGACTAATGGCACAAGTCGCGGTGCCAGTCCCCACTACACTTGTCGACTAACCTCAGGTAAGTCACCCCACTTTTATTTCTCACAATTACAACTGCAAAATGATGAGACTGCCAATCCAGTGCTGCGTTTAAATTCTTAAAGTCGAGGTCGCAAAGGAAATTATTTATATGAAGAAAACGAATTTAGATGAAATAAGATAATGGCGAAACGAAGACACAAGCCGCGAGAAGAGAAAAGATGAAAAGGAATGAAAGAGAAAAAATAGCCAGAACGAATCAATGAAAGAAAGAATGGTTTGAGGTGGCGCGCGAGGAGAGGGGGAATGAAAGAAAATGAAAAGAATGAAATGGAGACGAAACGGGAGACAAAGAAAGAACCAATAGACACACAAATTACAAAACGTAAGAGATATTTCCCAATGTTTACAATTTCATATGAAAAAAAGAAAGCAAAATAAAATTAGGAATGTTTACTGGGTTAAGTGAAACGAAATTCCAGATATCGTTTGAAATGTTCTCTTAGTTTCAGAGGTATATCTTTTCCAGTCGGGTCATGACAAAACGCCATCTTTTTTTTTTTTTTTGTTTTCCTTTTTCGTTTGTGTTTAACTGAACCACTCAGGGGCAGGTAACCTCTTCGAACTAAAGACATCCATCTTAGTTTTTTTTTCTAATTTTAATTTTTTTTTTTCACAAGACTGTAACATGCCTTCAAGTCATAGCCGAGGTTTTTATCTTTCTCCTTCTCAATATCTTTTTCTATCGATGAGTTTATTCCAAAACAGCCGGCTCACTTTTCACTCTAGGCTTTTTTCATTTCCGTTCTGTTAATGCTTTTGCCTTCATTTCAACACTTCCCCCTTTCTTTGAAGCCCCACTTTCTCTCACTCTCTTTTTCTCCTCTCGTTTTCTTTCTTCTTCTCTGATGTTCCCTCTCTTTCCTTCCCTTTTAATTTTTATCTCTCGTTTAATTTTTCTTTTTTTCTTTCTTTATCTCTAAGTCCTCACTTTTCAACTCCGAGGTCTCTCCTTTCTATCACACTCAATTTCACTTCTTGTCTTTTCTCTAATCATCCTTCTCTGTCCTTCTCTTTCGCTTTTTTCTTTTTCTTCCCCCCCACCTTCTCTCTAAGCAATCTCCGTTCCTCTGTCTTAGTCCCTTCATGTTTTCTCTTCCCCTCCAACTATCTCGTTCTCTTTCTCTCTCTATACTCCCATCTCTACAACTCCCACGTCTCTTTCCCTCTCTGTACTCCCACCTCGACAATACATGGACATTTTTTTCTCTTTTGAGATATGGAACATTCCTCTTTTTTAAACAAGTTTCTGGATGGAGGCAAAGAAAAAAAAGTGTCCTTCCGTACATTTGAGTCAAAAGTTTATGTCGGCTTTCAACATTCAAGTTGCGTGACCAAATGGCACGAGGACTTCCTCTAGATATTTCAAAATGGCGGATGACCTCCCTTAGTGTATTTTTAAACAGCGCCCAGTTTGGTCGATGACAAGATGATATTTTTTATTATTACGTGACTACAGACTCATTCGTTCTCATGTTCTATCCATCCATCCATCTGTTTATCTCTAAGTCTGACTCACTCTTTTTCTATCTATCTATCTATCTATCTATCTATCTATCTATCTATCTATCTATCTATGACACTCTGTCACTGTTGATCTATCTATCTATCTATCTATCTATCTATCTATCTATCTATCTATCTATCTATCTATCTTAACTATTCATGACACTTTGTCTATCTATCTATCTATCTATCTATCTATCTATCTATCTATCTATCTATCTATCTATCTATCTTAATCTCTTCATTACACTCTGTCACTCACTCTGTTAATATCTATCTATCTATCTATCTATCTATCTATCTATCTATCTATCTGTGAGCTAATATGGATTTTTGTTTGAAAACAAAAGGTAAATAAATCTTCTTACTAAATATGGAAGCATCTGTCTCCAATGAGTTCCTCTGAGGATTTTAATAGCGCGTTAGTCTAATCAGTAAATTTGTCACCGATCCTACACTCTTTAACTTTCAACCCAAGAAAAAAAAAAGCTTAAATACTGTCTTATCAAAAGCGACTCTCTTCTCATACGGATAGTACACAGAGAAAGGTCGAAGAATCGATCAACAGAAAGGCTGTGTTCATGGCAAAAACAAACAGAATGCAATCAATAGCCTGAACGATTGTCTTTGTCTACTAAAACCAAATACCTATAGGTGTATATCGGTAAAAGAGAAAGAAATATTTCCCGCTCTCGAAAATGGCCTTGATTGCAAGACGGACTCTAAATTTGTAAAATCTTAAAAAACAAAAACAAGAGCAAAAATAAAAATCTCTCACCATAGTCCAGTTCTTTCTTTCTTTCTTTTTCTTTCTTTCTTTCTTTCTTTCTTTCTTTCTTTATCTATCTATCTATCTATCTATCTATCTATCTATCTATCTATCTATCTATCTATCGTTGGCCATCGTCCAGTTCTTTCTTTCTTTCTTTATCTATCTATCCATCGTTCGCCATACTCCAGTTCATTGTTTCTTTCTTGGTCCTGCTTGATCTATCTATCTATCTATCTATCTATCTATCTATCTATCTATCTAACGTTGGCCATAGTTCAGTTCATTCTTTCTTTCATTCATTTTTTCTTTCTTTCTTTCTTTATCTATATATATATCTGTTTAATTTCTTTCATTTTTTTTTCTACTTTTCATACATGTCGTACATCAGGATATGAATACTGAATAAAATATCCGAAGTGCAAGTTTTATTCTATTTCTGTTCAAGCGCTTTCGATCGTTCTTTTCATCGTTAGTGTTTTCACTGTGGCAGACAAATTCTGATAGGCTACAACCATGTAATTTTATTTTGTAACGCTGGTATTCAAATTCATCCAAAGCGACGTCATGTGTGAAACTATTACACGGATGTGAACAACCCCTGAATTCTTTTCACACGGATTTCATATGTTCTTTAAAATACCGTCTCTCGTAATGTTAGGTGTTTATTCTAGAATTTATAGTCATTTCTGGCATTGAATACTATATAGTATTTTGGTATTATCTAGTAATATTTCTTATATGTTAATAGTTGTATTTTGATAACTTTCGATGTGATGATATACACGAATTGCGCTAAGTTTCGAAATGTGACAAGTTAACCTACGAGAGATTGTTATGTAGAGGCTGCCGTGGATAAAGTGTCGTCTAAATTCCGTAAAAATGAAAATAACATTGACATCTTATTTTAACAAATTTATTTATTAAAATTACACAAAAATATCTTGAAACACTAGAGAGTAAATTTGTTCAATAAAATCGCCACTGGCTTCAACCCCGGCCTCCAGACGACTTCAGGATCTCCTGTAACTCTTCTGGACGGTCTCCTTGTTTAAGTTGGTGAATGCTGTCATAATCCTTAACTTCAGTTCATCTTTGGTATCACAAGGAGTTTTTTTTTTGTTTCTCACTCAACTGCGTCCTACACACCATAATCAAGGGGTTTGAAGTTCAGTTGAGAAGAGATTCAGGACTACGGTGAAAGCAACAGTTGGCCTTTTTGAATTGTAAATACTGTATATATCAACTATTTTTAATAAGTATAAAAATCGAGCTGAAAACCTTCATTAAAACTTATTTTGTAATCATTTCGTTATGGGGTCGTCTATGTGGATTGGGGGGAGGGAAGATAACGGTTGACTTTAGACTTGAACAGGTTAAGATTGTAGTGATCGGGGGTGGGGGAGTCTGTTCCATAGGGTAGTATTTTCGCGGGAAAAAGCTGTTTGAATGGAACTTAATTCTCGTCGATAGAATACGAAGGGAATGTAGGTGGTGTGCTGCTATGGAAGTAGCATGTTGGGTTCTAGCCGTGAAGGTAAGACCTGGTGGAACCATGAGATGTAGTTCGTCTGAGCATTGAGAGATTTGCTGCATCCCGCCAGAGGGGGGGGAGAGAGAGAGAGAGTTAGAGAGAGAAACAAAGAGAGAGAGAGAGAGAGATAAAGAGAGAGAGAGTGAGAGAGGAAAGAGAGAGAGAGTGAGAGAGAGACAAAGAGAGAGACAAAGAGAGAGAGAGACAAAGAGAGAGAGAGTGTGAGAGAAAGAGAGAGAGTAAAAGAGAGAGAGTGAGAGAGAGAAAAGAGAGAGTGAGAGAGAGACAAAGAGAGAGACAAAGAGAGAGAGAGTGAGAGAGAGTGGAGAGAGAGAGAGACAAAGAGAGAGAGTGAGAGAGAGAGAGACAAAGAGAGAGAGAGAGAGAGAGAGTCTGAGAGAGAGACAAAGAGAGAGTGAGAGAGAGACAAAGAGAGAGAGTGTGAGAGAGAGACAAAGAGAGAGACAGATAAAGAGAGAGTGTGAGAGAGAGAGGCGAAGAGAGAGAGAGAGGAGAGAGACAAAGAGAGAGACAAAGAGAGAGAGAGAGAGAGAGAGAGTGAGAGAGAGAGAGACAAAAAGAGAGAGAGAGAGAGTGTGAGGAGAGAGAGAGACAAAAGAGAGAGAGGAGAGAGAGAGAGTGAGAGAGAGAGACAAAGAGAGGAGAGAGAGAGACAAAAAGAGAGAGTGTGTGAGAGAGAGACAAAGAGAGAGACAGATAAAGAGAGAGTGTGAGAGAGAGAGGCGAAGAGAGAGAGAGTGAGAGAGAGACAAAGGGAGAGAGACAAAGAGAGAGAGAGCGAGTGAGAGAGAGACAGAGAGACAAAGAGAGAGTGTGAGAGAGAGAGAGTGAGAGAGAGAGAGGTTGGAGGATGGAAAACAACAAGGACTCAAAGACACCTTTGAACTCTGTCAGAAATGGAAAGTCAGGGTCGCTTCTGCCTAGATATGCCAACAATGCTCCATTTTCGATCTGATCTGGCGCTTATAAAAGCAGTGGATAGCATTGGTGGGGGGAGTCAGGTAATTCCTGGTAATGGTACAGGCAGCTGATTATTTTACTCGCATCTTCTTGTCGGCTGAAATGAACGGTTTCTTTCCGGAACTGAATTTGGTGTGATAGTTTGCTCGCCTTCAAAATTTTCCACACTTTTCTGTTTTCTCACCACATAATTCGATAATTTGATTCCCGTTTTAGTTGAACCGCCATATTTAATTAAAATGCAAACAATAAAACCAAGGGATGCAAAATTTGAAATTATTTTTACTAATTTTACGTCATTTTACAGTTGAATTGGCAAGATGTAACCGTAAGTTCTATGTTAACGGTATCTTCTATGACACTTCTCGCCTGTGGAAACCTCGTTCGATTTTTTGTGAAACGGATCTTGAAAAATTAAAATGCAATGTCAATCGATATCGTTTGTTTCTTAATTCCCCTTCTTTTATTGTTCTCTCTCCTTAATAGTGTTTTTTCCCATATTCTTTCACACTCAGTAACTCCATGCGTCTTAGTAGATTTATTGACTTACTTGGGATGAAATAATTAAATGCAATGTCAATCGTTATCTTATGTCTTTTAATTCCTCTTCTTTTATTGTTCTCTCTCCTTAATAGTATTTTTCTTTTTCTCAATATTCTTTCACACTCAGTAACTCCTTGCGTCTTAGTAGATTTATTGCCTTGCTTCGGGTGAAATGATTAAATGCAATGTCAATCGTTATCTTTTGACTTCTTAATTCCTCTGCTTTTATTGTTCTCTCTCCTTAATAATGTTTTTCTTTTTCTCATATTTTTTCACACTCCGTAACCCCCTTGCGTCTTAGTAGATTTATTGCCTTACTTGGGATGAAATGATTAAATGTAATGTCAATCGTTATCTTCTGTTTTCTTAATTCCTCTTCTTTTATTGTTCTCTCTCTCTCTCCTTAATAGTGTTTTTTCTTTTTCTTATATTCTTTCACACTCAGTAACCCCCTTGCGTCTTAGTAGATTTATTGCCTTACTTGGGATGAAATGATTAAATGCAATGTCAATCGTTATCTTCTGTTTTCTTAATTCCTGTTTTTTTTTTTATTATTGTCTCTCCTTATTAATGAAGTAAGTTTTAGTGGCTTTATTGCCTTGCTTTTGTGTATGTATGTGTGGTGGTTTTCGGTAAATGATTAAATATCATCCGGTAAAGAAGAGTGACTGAAATCAAAGATCACCCTATTGTTTGCATTAGAATTCTCAATCTGTCTGTAGACAATGCGAATCTTGGACATTATAAGCAGAACTACAACGAAGAATCATTCTCAGCATCGTCTATGCAGACAGCACCAGACATGTTGCATTGCGTTAAAACATGAGATAAGAAACTAAATACATTGGAAAACATCGTGTCTAGCTTCTCTCTTAAAACTCATGACAATCTTCATATATTTATAATTAAAACATAAATATAAGCACACACACATACACTATATATATATATATATATATATATATATATAGATAGATAGATAGATAGAGAAAAATACAGATTGCATATGTATGAAGAAGGTCATAGATACAATATGGGCATAGGAATCAACACTGCATAATGACTGTCAGTTTCATGTTTCAAGCTTCAAAACTTGTTAATTGCTATAACCATACGGTTTATATCTATAAACTCAGTCTCTGATAATGAGCACTCTTCAACTACACACACATACGCATATTGATGCATCTATCTATCTATCTATCTATCTATCTATCTATCTATCTATCTATCTATCTATGGCTGTCATTTCATTTCATATCTATCTATCTATCTATCTATCTATCTATCTATCTATCTATCGTTTGTCATAATCCAATTCTTTCTTTCTTTTTCTTTTGTCCAATTTGTTTATCTCTTAAAACCAATTCAATTTTTTTATATCTTTTGTGAAATTTGTTTATATATATAAAACACACAATCTTTTATATATCTAAGTGAAAACACATATCATATAATATATACACATATATATATATATATATATATATATATATATATATATATGTATATATATATATGTGTGTGTGTGTGTGTGTGAAAAAATATAGAAAATAGGAAAAGAACTCGTTAGGTAAATAATCCAAAGTTCTTTAGTATTTTTGTTATTATTTTTTTAAAAAATAGTGCTCGATACAAATGTAGAGCCTAAATATAATTATTTATTTAAAAAATATGATTTTTCAAAACAAGAGCCGAATATAATTATTTGAATTAAATTGAATTAAAGTACTAAGCTCTGTTCAATCTTCAAGCGAATTTTTTTTTTGAATAACTAATTCCTGAAATTTACGACGTTTTATAAGCATATTCATTATTGAAATCAAAATTTCTATGGTAACGGCTAGAGCAATTGTTTAAAGAAAAGAGGCGTAAGGTGTTAATACTTTGTATCAATATCTCAGTTACATTCACAGATATATATATATATATATATATATATATATATATATATATATATATATATATATATATATATATATATACGGTATAAAACCAAAATTACCTCAGTATGATATAATATATATATGAAAAACCAAAATTCTTTTGGATGATCTGGATGAGCCCATCGTCTTCAGTTCTTAAGTGTTTGTCTGGAAGGAAGAATAGAATTTACTATAAATAGTATTCGACCGTAAGAGTTTACTGTAATTAATAAGTTATGGCGGCTGGGCTCCAGGGACTATTCTCAGAACAGTTCCAGTTTTTATTAATAAATGGCGGCTGGGCTCCAGAACATCCAGAAATAGACTATTCTCATATTGAAGTGATTTTTGGTTTTTATTAATAAGTTATGGCGGCTGGGCTCAGAACATCCAGAAATAGACTATTCTCATATTGAAGTGAGTTTTGTTTTTTATTAATAAGTTATGGCGGCTGGGCTCAGAACATCCAGAAATAGACTATTCTCATATTGAAGTGATTTTGGTTTTTATTAATAAGTTATGGCGGCAGGGCTCAGAACATCCAGAAACAGACTATTCTCATATTGAAGTGATTTTTGGTTTTTATTAATAAGTTATGGCGACTGGGCTCAGAACATCCAGAAATAGACTATTCTCATATTGAAGTGATTTTGGTTTTTACTGTAAAAATACATATATGCATAAAGACATTGAACTCTCTGTGGATCAGTTTTAATATTTTCTATTACTAGGATTCACTTGGATTATATACCTATTACTGGACATATTACCTGTATTATATATATATATATATATATATATATATATATATCAAGTATAGGATTGGTGTAGTGGATTCCAATAAACAAAAAGTACTATTCTTAATACAGAGTAGAGCAAATATAATCATTTATTCGAAAATTATAACATAAAAATGTTATAAAATCACTACAAAAATAGCCATTTTATTTCAACACTTCTGGTGTCTTATCAAGTGATGGTGTTGAATTTAGAATAAAGTGTTCATTCCCTTTATTCTACATTCAACGCCGTCACTTCATCAGAACAGAAGTGTTGAAAAAAAACGGCTATTTTTTGTAGTGATTTTATAACATTTTATAAAAAAAAAATAAATGATTATATATATATATATATATATATATATATATATATATATATATATATATATAATGAATAATAATGAATTCTCTCGTCGGTTTGGGCGTATGAGGATCTGACAACTTAAGCAATTGATTCAGTTATGAAAGTTTGTACGATAATCCTAAGTGGTATTTAAGACCCGTTAGTGATTTACAAAGGAGGCCGCATATGGAGCAAGAGTGAGGATTGTGAGATGAGATCACTGTTAGAGTGGCTGACCTTTTAGATCTTGCTCTCGCTTCTTGTTGTTCTCCATTCTACATTTTCCAAGGCTAAGCGCTCGAGTCTGTTATGAGGTATATTGACAGCTGACAAGTTGCTCTTCAGCTTGTCTTTGTATCTTAGCCATGGGCGTCCTGCATTTTTGTAGCCATGATCTAACTGGCTGTACATTAGGATCTTGGGTATCCTGTCATCAGGCATTCTCAAGACAATATATATATATATATATATATATATATATATATATATATATAATAAATAGGTAAAATGAGAAAAAATAGAGTATAATTTCACTGTACGTGACATTTAATTTAAAAGAAGGCTCAATGCAGAGTATAACTAAATATTATTTATTTTAAGATATTAAAACATGTTAAAAATCGCTACACAATGGCAATTATGTTTCAACATTAAAATATGTTTCCTTGGGTGATGTTAAACTACTGGCAAGTGAAAATTAATTTAGTTTCAAAAGCAGAAGACTTTAAAAATTGTCTTAAGGGCTTTGCCGTAATTAACCAATCGAATGTAACCTACGCTAAATGTAACAACCTGTATCTGCCCATTAAGAAATTGTCTAGGATTTATATGCAGACAACTTCGTGTCATGATCTATATTAAAAAAATAATTCTGGTGAATTTATATTTAGATTAGGTCACATTCGATTGGCTAATCACGGCAAAGCCCACAAGCCTATTTTAAAAAAAGTATTCCGTTTTTGAAATTACATTAATCTTTCACTCGTCAGTAGTTTAACATCGCACGAGGAGACATATTTGTATGCGTTGTAGAATACCTAAGGACGATAATGGGTATGTCCCCATTCCCATAAATACAGTAGTAGATGTCGGTCTGCAGTTGGAGATTAGTCTCCAGCAGTGCTGGTCAAACTCTCTGCCTCCGGGCAGAGAGGATCCCCAGACGAGAAAGGCAGAGTCTCGTCTCGGGAAACAGCTACACGTACCCGCCTTATACGGGGTCTACGGGGAATTTTGAGCCGAGACTACGGGCTCGGATACCCCACATTAAATTCGGCCTTGTGCCACATCTGACCACGTGGGATGGGTGGTAGATATCCTGCAGTTGGAGATTCATTGTGGAATTCACTTGACTCACCTCTAGCAGTTGATTACTTCTACTCGCCGCTGGTGAATCTTATATGTGTTGTTCTTGTCCTAAGTATTATTGTTCATTACCAACTTTCGTTTGATTATTCTATTCAGTAACCTTCCCTAGGTTGCAGAATATGAATGTATACACATTTATATATACATTACTTGTATATTTCTTTTCACACACACACACAGACACACACATATATATATATATATATGTGTGTGTGTGTGTGTGTGTGTGTGTGTGTGTTGTGTTTGGCTGGGGTAACCGTAGAAACGTAGGTAGTGTCTGAGGCTATACATTTTCACATTTATAATTTTACACACACACACACAGACACACACATATATATGTATATTTTAAATATATTTAAAGTGTTTTAATACACATAAAAATAATAATTTTGATTGATTTACCCGTTTCTTTTAATAGTAAATAAAAAAAATTATCTATCTTTCTCAGTCTGTTCAGATCTATCTATCTATCTATCTATCTATCTATCTATCTATCTATCTATCTATCTATCTATCTCAGTCTGTTTAGATCTATCTATCTCAGTCTGTTTAGATTTATCTATGTATTTCAGTCTGTTTAGATCTATCTATCATCTGATGTGAATGACCTGGCAAAAAAAAAAAAAAAAAAAAAATTAACGTAACACGTAAAGGCACGAATTGTTAAGGGATAAAAAAAGTCCTTTTAAAGTTGGATCTCGGCGGTGAAAAAGAATTTTCCTTCCATTATTTTGACATGAAGAACTTTTTTTTTTCATCACACTATCTTCTTTCCGTTTCATTTATTTATTTATTCATTTTTTTAAACGAATTTCTTCCCATCAATTTCTTTTTCCCTTGCTAACGTATAGCATCGCCGGAATCCACAACCTGATGGCGTAATGCTATGCGGACAGAGGTCGAATTCTGTTGCAAAAAAAAAGAAAAAAAAAGAATAATAAAAAAAAAAAATGAAATAAAATAAATTAAAATAAAGTAAAAAAAAAAAAAAGAAAATGGTAAAAATACTAAAATGAACAGGGTAAGATAAAGAAGCCATCGCTATTTGATGCCAGAAAGGAAAGAAAAATAAAATGGAAAAAAAAAGAAGTGAAAAAAAAAAAAAAAAAAAAACAAAACAAAACAAAACAAAACAAAAAAAAACAAAAAGTACAAAACAACAAAAAAAAAAAAAAAAAAAAAAAACGCTTCTCTTAACTAGTCCCTCCTCCCGCGTTGAAAATATTTGGCAAGACACCAGTCGAAGATAAATTCAAGGATCAAATGATTATGTCATCGGAACTAGATGAAAGTTTAATTCTCATTATTTATTTAAATGGTTTTAATCATTTCACCCCAAGCAAGGCGCGAAAGTCACCAGTAAGCAGGGGGGTTACAGGGAGTGAATGTAAAAGAGAAGACTGAGTATAGAGAGGATTGAGGAAAAGCCAAAAAAAATGAAGTGGATTCAAGAAAACAGAAGATGGCGATTGATGTTGCATTTAAATTTTGTGATTCATTTCACCCCAAGCAAGGCGGGAATGCCACTAGTACGCAGGGGATTACAGAGAGTGAAAATGAGAGAAAAGACTGAGTATAGGGAGGATTGAGGAAAGGACAAAATATGAACGGGATTCAAGAAGACAGAAAATGGCGATTGACGTTGAATTTAAATTTTTGTCGATTGTATTTATCCGGGAAGCAAATAAACGGAGGGGAGTTCCACAGGTGAGAAGTGCGAGAAAAGAAACAGTTTGAGTAGAAATGGTTGTTGCATTTAGCTATTTCAACAGTAAATGAGTGCTACCTGGATGCACGGTTAAATTTTTATATTCGGGCAACCAGAGATAACAACATGTCAGAGCAGTTGTCCTGCGAATATTTGTAGAAAAGACAGAGGGAAGCCACGTCATGTTGGTGAGAAAATGGTTGAAGTTGAAGTGGCTGGTCAGCATTGATTAAATTACAGATCCTTCTTTGGATTTAGTCAAGGATCTCTAGATGCATAGCAGAAGCACCAGATCAGTTATCGCAATTCAATGCACGGGTGAATGGTAGATTTGTAAATGTGCTAGATGGACTCTGAAGAGATTTTTTTTTCTAGCACGGCACAGTGAACCAACTTTCCTTGCAGTAGATGCAGCTATTGATTCGATGTAGTCGGTCCACTTCAAGTCAGGGGTAAACGTGGCGCCAAATAGGGGCTGTGTGTTGATCTCCTGCAATCTAGCATCGGCCATGCTGAAAACAAGTAGAAAAAGTCCTCTACGGTGGTTAAATGAAAACAGTGTTTCTACAATTCATTGCCAACTGTACATCCAAAATTTGAAATTTATATCAGTATCTTATATAAAAGAAACCTCCTCTGTATTTTCTAATTTTGTTTGGTAGTTTTCCATCTTTCATCTGTTTTTAATTATTTCACCCAAGCAAGGTAAGAAAGCCACTAACACGTGGTGGGTACTGAGTGTTAAGATCATTTTTAAGGATAGAGAACTGTTGTAGAGTAGCTGAACACCCCCAAAAGATGGACTGGTATAAGACTATTTAAACAGCACTCTCTATTACCGAGGGAAGGGTGCTAACTTATTACATTAGTCTGTTTTCAACGGTGTATCATATTATTCTCTGGGATAAACTTTTTATTTGCTATATGTGTGTCAACCTTTCCTATTTACGACACAGCAAGAACAATAAAAATCAGAAATTAAAGACGGAAGATAGCGATTGACAGTGCATTTAAATCTTTGAAAGATCAAAGTTGCCTGGAAAGCACTAATCCGGAATAGGAATTTCTAAATCGAGTAGTACAGGAAAATAAACTGTTAGCATAGAACTTACGGCTACATCTAGCCATTTCGACTGTAACATTATGAGACCTCACCGCCAATCTAGTACCGCGTTTAAATTCATGAAGTCTAGCTAACATAGAGGACAGTCCATGGGAACATCTAACATGAAAGTATTTATAGAAAAGGCATAAGAAGGCTACATTACGTCGGCGAGATAATCACTGAAGCCGAGATGCCAGCTTAGAACCAACGACATTGCAGATTCTCCTTTTGATTCTATCAAATATTGCTGAATATATAGCAGGAGCACGAGACCATATGCGGCATGGACGAGTGGTAGACTTGTAAATATGCAAGACAGATTCGGACTAAAGAAAACAAATAAAGAGAGAGAGATCAAACATGCACAAAATGGACTCTACTGTTTTTGTGTGTTCGCTGGAGAGAGACAAATATTTTTGATAATATAACTAGTGCTGTTGGTGATTATGAGGAATATGGTTCGATTTCGTTGCTATGCCATTTTTACGTCATTAAAAATAATTTTGCAGCAAATAATTAATTTTATTTATAATCTGGCATTGTTAATTTAAACGTTATATCTATTGGATAAACGTGTTTGAGTAGACATCTCCGTTCTTTTAAACAGTGTAAATGTACTTCCACCGGCCGGTGCACTCGAGAGTCTTATTAAAGAATATGTGCCTCCCGTATCCGATAAGGGTAACATGTAAGGTTATAAGAAATAATGTAGGATTATAAATAAAATTTCTTTACAAGTTGCTTTGTTTACGTTTCGGATATAAAAATTAAAGTTAGCAAATAAGGGTTTCGTGGGAGACCAACAAAGATGAGCTTTTCTTAAATATGATAATCGGAGCTTGTTTGGCTGTGAGAGCTTTCTATGTGGAGGTAGTTTTTTCTATACGCGAGGGTGCAGGTTCAAACCATACCGGAAGAGAAAATGTGCCTTCCGGTATGATTCAGCGATATGGTTCAACCATAGGTCAAACCATAGCGGGAGACACGTTTACTGCGTGCCTTTCGGTAGGGTTTGAACTCAAACACAAGTATTCAATAGATCGTAGTAAAAAATGATTAAAAATACACAGTATGAAGAGAGATATATTTTTCCTTCAATGTATTTTTTGTTAACAATATATCATCAGCATCATCATCATCGTCATTAGTCCCATGACTGGTTGTGGTCGAAGGGTCGCTGCACGGCTGAGCACATAAACAGCTTCCTCTATATGCCTCAGTGGCATGCTAAGGTCTGAAACCTTGTAAAGTATCTTCCAGTATACTCACTGACATTGTCAACACATTTTTCCATTGTCTGTTTCTTTCACTTTTGCCTAAAGTACCGTAAAAACTTATTTTGCCTAAGGTACCATAAAAACACGTTTTGCCTAAAGTAACGTAAGAACACATTTTTGCCTTATGTAGCATAAAAATCATTTTTTCTCGAGCTGTTTTATTCCTCTTTGGCCTAAAATACCATAAAAGCGAATTTTGCCTAATGTACCGTAAAATCTCATTTTACTTAAGGTATCGTAAAACTCATTTTCCAATGGTATCGTAATACTCATTTTGACTAATATACCGTAAAACTCATTTTGCCTAAGCTATCGTAAGAACTCATTTTGCATGAGCTATCGTAAGAAATCGTTTTGATTAATGTAACGTAAAAACTCATTTTACCTAATGTACCGTAAAAACTCATTTTGCCTGAAGTATTGTAAAAACTCATATTGCCTAATGTAAACTCATTTTACCCAAGGTATCGTAAAACTCATTTTCCAATGTTATCATTTTGACTAATATACCGTAGAACTAATTTTGCCTAAGCTATCGTAAAAACTAATTTTACCTAATATATCGTAAAAACTCATTTTACCTAATGTACCGTAAAAACTCATTTTAACTAAGGTATCGTAAAACCTTATTTTGCTTAAGGTACCGTATAACTCATTTTTCCAATAGTATCGTAAAACTCATTTTGATTAATATACCGTAAAACTCATTTTGCCTAAGCTATCGTAAAAACTCATTTTGCATGAGCTATCGTAAAAATCATTTTGCCTTATGTACCGTAAAAAACTCATTTTATCTAATGTACTGTAAAAACTCATTTTGCCTGAAGTATCGTAAGAACTCATTTTGACTAAGATATCGTAAGAACTCATTTTCTGTAATGTACTGTAAAAATTCTTTTTACCAAAGATACCATATAAACTCATTTTGCCTTAGGTACCATAAAAACTCATTTTGCCTTAGGTACCATAAAAACTCATTTTGCCTTCGGTACCATAAAAACTCATTTTTCCTAAGTCGCCGTAAAAACTAACGTATAAAGCCAGCCTGTAGATAAGCTGAGGTCCTTTTTGATCTTAGAATTGTTTTCTTTAGGCATGTGTCCATTGTATAATACGAGGGCGACCTCTGAAGTTTTCAAAAATATGAGAGGTAATGAAGATTTATTTCGGAAGGATAAGGTTTAGAGTGAGGACTGATCGTTTTATTAAAATTGCTATATGGAACCATAAGATCTCTGCTGACAGTTTCTTCTCTCCTATTTCTCGCTTATTGAATTCTCTTCCTGCTTCTTCTATCAATGTCGAGCCTGTTCAGTACCCATATGGGTGACCTCTTGGGAATACCAAATGCTGTAAGCCTGGATGTTGAGCTAGTATGGCTTACGGCAATATTAAAACCATTTCTATGAAGAAGTCTAAAATTAAGATTACTCACCGAACGCTCCTCTGTGGC